ACAGCAGCGATTTGGGAACGAAGAGTCACAGCAGCAAGAGACTGAGATTCTTGCTAGGCCTCATTGGCTACTTGGAGTTCGCTGGCGGACCACGAGTTGGAGCCCAAGAAGAAGAAATTCGACATGTCAAAGGACTTAGACCTGAGAGAGTACAACAACTGACATGTTTGCTTTTGGCGGCTTTGAGTCAGCAGGGCAACGGAATGGAAGTCGAAGAGACGACCAGTAGTGACAGCAACCGTGAAATTTTCTTGATGGTTTTCACGGCAAATGCAGTTTTGTTTGTAGCCATGGGGTTGGCTATGAGTGTGCAAGGTTGCGACTTAGCGCTGATGGTGCTTCATTCGGCTTCGATTGGAGCATGGTCTCTCATGACCGAGATGGGCTACCAGATCTTGCAGACAGGCATGATGATGGTGGCATTCAACGTGATGGTCTTCATCCTGTTCTACCTCAGGGACTACTTCAACCTACAACCTGTTGAAGGTGGAGGAGAATTTCAACGAGAAACCTCACCCCCTCAAGATCCTCACCGAGAAGGAGAACAACGAAAGGTCAAGCAGACAAGATTCAATCTCTTTGGAGAACCAGCCGGACACGATCCGGAAGCTCGCGGAAGTGATCGAGATGGAGAACTATGGGATGAACCTGAAGGTGGAGATGTCAACCACCTACTACTTGAAGGAGAAGAAGGACCACAATTCGAGAACCTCACGGAGACAGCCTACACTTCTGGCGGAGAACCGACAGAAGACGAGTTCACAGAGGACGCCATGGATGTGGACGACGATGATGTCATCGCAACAGTTGAAGATTGGGACCCCATTGGTCAAGAAATGGCGACCTACAGAGTTCTTCGAGATCGAGCACAAGCTTTACCTGGCGAAGAGTACTTCTTGGACGTGGATGGACGTCTTGAATGCCATGGTGGACTTGGAAGCTTGAGTGAAGAAGTTCAGAAGAAGAATCAGCAGATGACCAACCTGCTGAAGAACCTGAAGGCAGTGGATCTGAACAAGTTCTACGTGTGGCAGGAGAAAATGGTGAAGAAGTGACGGACGCAGTTCGAGAACTTCGACGATATGCAGGCTTGTTGGAAGAGCTTGGAGAACACCCAGAATGCTACATGGAGTACAACATGCCTGGCATAGTGTTCTGGGCAAATCCAGACACAGGTGAGATCCAGATGCACCGACTCCTCGACCTCACGATCGACACACCTGAAGATGGCGAGGAGTACTTCATCGAGAATCCCAACTGGATGAGAGATGGTGGCAAATGGTTGCTCAGGAGGCTTCACTACGAGCCTGAGCCAGAAGAGGAGATCCCGGAATCCCCAAGAGGCTATGGCTGGGCCTTGGCTACAAGAGAATGGATGAGAGAATGGATGGACCATGTGAGAGACCTATGTCCTCACAGAGCACTGAGGGTGGAAGTTGGGACCAAGCTCCCAAACGCTTGGCCCAAAGGAGGAGTGTTGCACAGTGAAACCAAGTGCATCCCAGCAGTACACTCCATGTAAAACATGTTGAGTCACAAACCACAACCTGCAATCCGCGGGCCGTCAACCGCTCAAGCGAAAAGTGAGCGACTTGTTAGAAAAATAATGTCCAATTCCTTGCCCAACGGTCACAGACCAACTAACTGAAACCTTAATGTGTGCACTGCACAATCCTGGCAGTAAAAGAACGTCCAATTCCTTGCCCAACGGCCACAGACCTCTGAAACCTTAACGTGTTCATTGCACAATCCTGGCAGCAAAGGAATGCCCAATTCCTTGCCCAACAGTCACAGACCAGCTAACTGAAACCTTAACGTGTTCATTGCACAATCCTGGCAATAAAAGAATGCCCAATTCCTTGCCCAACGGTCGCAGACCAACTATATAACTGAAACCTTAACGTGTTCATTGCACAATCC